TATTACCCGCGGGCACGGGAAGGCTGAATTTAAATTTGTCGCGTCATCCGTTGGCGGGGAACACTATACCAAAATTCCAGCCGCCTAGCTTTTGTGGTCCCCGAATTGAAAGTGCGAGACAAAATGTGGGACACACACACGCACGCACGCACACACACGCACGCACACACACGCACACACACGCACATACACACACAGACAACCCCGTGACAACATGCGTTTTGTAACGCTGTTACACAGCACAAAACGCATAAAAAGATAAAGAGGAAAAATAAAATTACATCATATTTCACTTACTCGGTAATAAATGACTTGAATAATCCGTGAATGTTGCATTCCACCGTCGTTTTTGGTTTTCCGGATCAAACATTGTTAATTTATACTCAGACCTAAAGAATTAAACTTGATTTATGTATTCACAATGGCATACATGAGCTATTAGCTTCTTCATATATATCATTTGATACTTATGCAGCTCATATTTTTCCTTTCCTCTGCCCTACTCACACGTATGCTATGCATTAGAAACATGTTTTTCTTGAAAAAATCTATCGTACCAGCTGCCAGAATCTCTGTATATTTGCATCAGTACACTCTGGTACCACTGATACATTAGTGTTGTACCATGACTCCCTCCTAGGTAGGCCATGTAATGACGCGAAGTGGCCTATATAAAGCCTTCGTGTGCCTATATAAAGTACCACAGAAGAGTGTCGATCCAGTGTAGTGTTGTGGTATTGTGCAGGCGATCCTGACCACTCACGAAGGATGTGGTCCCCAATACCCCAAAATATCGCCAAGGGATCTACGACCCATCTCGATAAGCCGGAGCATTGGAGCAGTCGCCGAGTCGCATAGCCATCAACCCAACATTAGCAGTGTTGGCTTTTTCAAATATATTAATTTCGGCAATGTTTCTTTTAGCTCAAATTTGATGAAAAGACGCAGTTTTAGTTCAAATTTGATGAAAAAGTGTCGTTTTATCAACGATTTTCGATGATATGCGATTTATTTTATCAGTGATTTATCATTTCCGATGATATGCGCTAATTTTATGCGCCAGTCATTCCCTTGCTAAACCCTAGGAAACATACTAATGCCATGCAGTACATATAACAAATAGCAACGAGCACCAGACTAGCCGGTGCGATCATGAGTTTTGTGCAATTCAGCCGCCTAGACTCCGTGGTTCCCGAGATATTAATTTACCCGTAAAAAACTTTCACGGGGCCGTACGTGTTACCCGCGAGTACGAGGAAGCTGAATTTAAATTTACGGGGTCACACGTGGGTGGGGAACGTTCCCCTAAATTTTCAGCTTC